ATTTGAACAAGCAAACGAAAACTAGCTGATTGTTTACACGTTTTGATATTTGAAAATTGAAACATGTATTTTTCCCCTAAAAATTTTATAGCCGAAATTGAATTAATGTCTCGTGAAGTCATGATGTTTGAACATATTCACTTCAAACTGAAGATTAACTTTTGAAATTTCAAATATAATGGTAAAGATATCTAATATCACGTCTGCCTTACAAATCTTGTGGAGGTCTTTCTTCTTTATTCCTTAATTTCTTCTTCTTATTCTTATCTTTCTTGAAAAAGTAATTATAGAGATGTGTACTAAGCATATTTTCAATCTGAAACGTGCAAATGAAATGTGAATTGTCAAGATTTTTCTATTTTTAATTATATTCTTATGGATTTTTTTTTTCATTTACATATCTTTTTAATTGGACTTTTCATCTTGGATCATGGAGATCCAAAATAACATTGACTTTTAATCTAGAAGGATAGGGTTACTGACTGTTCGAATCTGTTGACTTCTCTGATTAATGGTCAGCTTGACTTTTAAAACATTGCGCAAGCATAGGGTTAAGTGTTTGAAAGATTTGTTGAGGGTTGCTATAGAGGAGGTGGCAAAATTTGTCTTCCTTTGATTTGATGAACTTAAGTTATAATAGTATGGGACAAGCCGCTTTGCAATTAATTATTTTTCCCTCAATATTAATTTGATACCTGTGTATCTTTTTTAATTAAATATTTTAATTTTATTCTATTAGAATTATTAACCTTGATAACTTTATTCTATTGACATTGTTAGCCTACGTACAAGAACTAACAATGCTAATAGAACAAAATTAAAGCATATAATGAAGGGGGAAGACACAGAGGTATCAAATTAAAAACTGAAAACTAGTTTAGATACCTACAAAATAATTTTTTCCCCTAAACTTATTCCTTTGATTTATTCTTTCGTACCAAATAGTACGTTGTTATTCAACTGTTCAAGTTGATTTGGATTTGGCCCTCTTTTTATCCGAATGCTATCAGGGATACCTTTTCGTTCTTGATCGCTAGTAGTTCTCGAAATTCTTATTCTGCACTTCAATTTTTTAAAATTAAATCCTAATAATTAAAAACATAACAAGATTTTTTGGATATTGATTCACAACAAAGCATCCCAACGGATCGGATATATTTTAAATCCTAATTTTCCCCAAATTTTAAATCCTAATATATAATATCCCAAACCCTTCATATGAAAGTTATTTTCACTTAATTTGAATAGATTAAGAAAAATAAATAAATTAATTAATTATAACAAATATGACATGATGTCCTTATAATTTAACTAACTTATATATTAGTTATGAATTAGTTAAATTAGTTTAAAAAGTAATAAATATGAGACACAAAATGAACTAATAAGATTTTATATTTATTATTAAATCTAACTGTTCAAGTAGGTCTTACATTAGAGTAAGGAAAAAGTATAACTAAGATTCTATTTAACAATTTTTTTTGTGTTCATTTAATTATTTTTATTAAATGAATTATATATATTAACATTCTATCATTTTCATCATTAAAGGCATACATAACTAAATACTAAATATCATGTCTTCACTATTACTGTTCCGGTCCTTAATATAGGACTTAATTATCGAGTTAATTTTGGTCCTAAATATAAGACCTATTTTTCATATTTATCAATTTTTCCTAAATTACCCCTATATATACTTTCTCAATCATGACAAGTAGAAGATGGAGGGAGGACATTAAGAAAGATGATTATAATGTTTTAGGAAAAAATGTCATATTTCTTATAATTAACTAACTTACCTAATTTTCTTAATCTAATTAAATTAATTAAGTAGGTCTTATATTAAGGATTGGAGGAGCATTACTTATTAGCAAGCTTCATCCACGTAAATCCAAAACATCAACTAGCTACCTCTAAATCTTAATATAGAAGATACATGATTAATTTATAGAGATTAAAAAATTAATTAAGCTAGTTATTTGTGAAAATTATATGTTAATTTTCTTAAAAGTACCCTATTTAATCATTTGTATTCAAACTATCTCTTGATTGTTAATCTGTGTAATCAATATTTTGGATAGTTCAAGGGAAAAAAAATCAATATAAAAGAGAGAATACAATGAGTTTTTATATTTAAACCAAATTCAAATCTCATCTAACTCTTAGAGATCGAAGGGAGGGAATATGTCATATTCATATTATTATTATTATTATTTTTTGCTGAAAGAGAGAGGCATCAACTGATAATTACTTTCTTTATTCAGCAACATGTTGTAATCTTCCAAAGTTATATTGAGTTTGAAACGAACATGTTGTAATCTTCCAAAGTTATGTTGAGTTTGAAACGAATTAATTTAAGTCTCATCTTCCAATAATAGTTTTCTTTTGCAGTTGTTGTAAGATTTAAATGAGACTTTAAGAAGTGTGCATGTGTACCAAGTTTCATCAATGAAAGTATTCTCAAGCCTCTTTTATTTTATATTATTCCTTTAGTGTATATATATAGCAAATCAAAGAGCAAAGTACATAGTTTAATTTCTTCTCAACCTACTGATCAGTAAATAGGAGTCCAATTCAAACAATAATTACGTATTTTGATTGTATTTGAACAACCAAGCAAACAAACGAATTGCTTACGTTTTTTGATAGTTTCACACCATTCCCCCCCCCCCCCGGGGGAGTAGAAATTTCTTTGCGTCAATTTGAATTAAAGTCTTTGCTTAAACAGTTCATGAAATCATGATGTTTGAATATATTCACTTCAAACTCAAGATTAACTTTTGAAATTTCAACTTAATAGAAAGAGATTCCGATATTATCACCTTCTTTATATAACTAGCAAAAGCCAAAGTACAAGGTGCAAAATATTTAATTGGATATATATTTGTGTGATGGGATAATGGACATACACTTGATATTATAATATATGTGTCAAAAAGTTTATTGAAGTATCTTTAATATTTTTAATACATTTTTACCATTGTGACTAGTCATACTGAATAGATTTTAATCTTTTAATTCCGAATTGCTCAAGTGACTAATAAAGAAAGGGCATTAGTTTTCGTTGAGTAATAAATTATTTCATTGAACTTCCAGCCTGTTTTGGATCACCTCTGAAGTTCAAAACTGAAGCAAATACTATATCGGTTTCTTTTTTAATTGGATGACTATTTGATTAACGAAACAAAGAATTTCTTAAAATAAATAGTTACAGGGTTAAAATCGTTATAATCGTTATCTTTCATCAAAGTGTTGGTAATTTATTGTGCCCCATGGATGGTCAATGTTATACTCCATTTTGCTTTTGAAAAGGATTTAAATTTATCTTTTGTCATATCATCTAAAATTAATATTAACATTAAGATTAGCCTACAAATTATGACATTAGAATATAAAAATATTGAATATTTCAGATTTGTAAAAATATCCAAAATAAAATAATAATTAATTTTAATGTTAACAGAGTGCGAAAATAAAAGAGAGAGAAATGGAAGATGCAATGTTTCTTCCGTTTTTCTTTTTTAACAATACTACTGTTGGTTATTACATTTCGATCAAATTTTAGTTTTAATCTTTGTAGTTTTTTTTTTTGAATTAAAGGATGTAAAAATTATTGGCATGAGGTTACAATTGGAATTATACCTGCAATCTCTCTTATACAGGAGTGTCAATGCCACTAGGCTATAAAGCCTTTGATTAGTCTCTTTAGTTTTAAATCAGGACTTTTTGTCTTTATAATTACTTTGAATTCGTCCATTCAAAATGTTAATCCATATAGTTTCATAAGGACTTGGAATTGAGCTTAGTGGGGTTAATTTTATTAATGCTGTTAAATATAAAATCAAAATTAAAACTCGTTAAAAGTATAAATAAAAAAGCGACTTAAATTATGATACAAGACCAAGAAATCAATTTTGATTGGCAAAATCAATTTTCTACAATAAAATATGATTTTTAACATTTAAATTCATGCTTCGATTTCTTACTTTCAAATATGATTTCATCATTTTAAGAGGGTGTAATTATGTTCAACAGGTATGACTCTATTTCAAATATGTGCAAATGATATTTGTATTGAAGACTCTTGGTTCAGAGTTGAGAATATATTAGGCACAGTTGAAGAAAAGTTGCACATGCTGAAAATAACTGCATTAGGTCTTCAATTCTGACCAAAGAAATTTGTCAAATAGGGACTTTTCACAATTTTTTCTTAAAAAATGAAAAAAAATTGAGAGTTTTTAAAATTTACATTTAACGGGTTTTCATTAAGTGTTAGTTTTAACTCTTATATTTTTAACAAGTTTTAATTTTAACCCTTATATTGATTTTTGCCTCTATACTTAAAAACGTTAAAAGTTACCATAGTTAAACTTGGATTCAAATTCTTATGAAATATAACATAACATTTTGGATGAAAAAAACCATAACCACAAAAAACCACAATTTAAAACCATGAAGACCAAAAGCAAAATTCGATCAAGGATATTAAACCCCTTTTTCTGAGCATGCAAGGTTTCTTCTTTAATATTGTTTGAGTAAATAAAAAAGTAGAGTAGAATTCAACAACTTTTACTTTATTTAGTCATAATGAAAGATATTTTTCTTCTATGTTAAAATGTGCTATTAGTCAGCTAACTAGCTTCAAACACATGGCACTTTGAATGGTGCGCACGCTACATATAGTTGTGTGTTTGAACAAGCCATTGATCAATATTTTCAGCACTGATAACGTGCATGCAGTTTCCCGGAATGAGCTTCATCCCAATCCTACGCTTTGACTTTTTATTTATATACAATTTTATATTACAAAATCAGTATATATATATATATAATAAAACAAGATATACAATTTAAAAATAAACAATGTAACTGGAAAAATATGACTCATTTCTCAGACTCACTACAATGAACGGCCAAAACCATATAAATATGCATGGCATGCAGCACATATTAGCAGAGAAGGAAGTTGCAATAAGCATTCCTCAAAAGAGATAATGATGGCAAGGAAGCCAACAAATTCATTGATGGAGAGTTCATGGATTATGGTCACAGCCATGATTATGTTGTCTTCTTGTTCCTCGAATCTGTTGGTTCGTGGTGGAGAGACATTATGGAAGCCGACATGGACAAAGGAAGCAGCAAAAGAAGCAGAGATTGTGGCAGGCATAGGATGTTCTGGACATGGAAGAGCCTACTTGGATGGTTTGGTTCTTAAAGGCCATCACTTGCCCGTTTGTGACTGCAATCCTTGCTATTATGGCCCTAGCTGTTCCCAGTTTCAATCCAATTGCTCTGCAAATGCTGGAAGGTTCAAATTCTTATCCCTATTACAATTTAAATTAAATATATTTCATTAACTTTTAGTCATACTCATATGGAATCCAACTAGAATACTATATTTCATTAACTTTTGGGGACTAGATATTTTGTAGTGTGACTGTACTTGTTTCCATCTTGGCATCTTGAATCTATTTGGATCGTTTTGAATTATTATTGGCCAATTTGCTTATCAACATTAATACTCTACATCACTTTTAACTCAGCTTCGTTTATAGGAATTTTGTTGAGAATGAAGATAGGAATGTTTATTTTTCAATTTAATTAGGTGGCTTTGGAATCAGCCGCAATTTTTGTGACTTATAAATAATGCCGATGATTTTATGTTTTATATTGATATTAATACAAGACATTAAAAGAAAATCTTCCTAAAATAATAATTAAAAGTTTTTCCCCCTAGTACTCTCTCCTCTCCTCATTCTCTCCTATGTCCAAACAATACCAAAATTCAATACGCAGTACATATTTTGTTGTCTTTATGCATGTCAGAATTCTTACCATTAAGAGAAATTAACAAGCATGATTAAGTTTGTAAGCTTTTGTGGCTTAGTGGGGATCCGTATTTCTTGGAGCCATTCTGGATGAGACAAGCAAAAGAGAGTGCAATATTAGTATCAGGTTGGCACAGAATGGGATATACGTACAGTGATGGATCTTACATCTCAGAAGTGCTTGTGAAGTACATTCAAAAATTGCATAAAACGGTTCGTAACGCAGAGACTGATGGGCGGTTCATTATATTTGGGGCTGGTTCTACTCAGCTCCTCAATGCTGCCGTTTATGCCTTCTCTCCCAATTCTTCTTCTTTGCATTCTCCTGCCAAAGTGGTTGCCACAGCTCCATATTACCCTGTAAGCATTTTCTAACGGGATTATTTTGTGAGAAAAACTGTGAGGAACAAATGTATATCTACATGGTTTTGAAATCAGGACCAAATCAGTTTGCATGATATATGTATATATTTATATATAGCACCTAAGCCTAAAACAACGTTGCTTTAATATATAGGATTTTTTAAAAAGAAGAAACTATACATGTTTTTCTTTATGAATGTGATTTATGAACTTTTGAGTTTGGTTATTTTGAGAATCGAACTTCCTTTTGTATTTGAGATCGATTATTTGCGCCTTAGACTTTGTTATATTTGCTTGATGATTAGTTCTTTTTATTTAAATATTTTTTCAAATGGTCATATATCTATATATATGAATATTCTTAATTAAATTATATTGCTTTAATCATAATCAGTTTGAGCTGGAGACTTGAACTACTTCCTCAACTAGTATAATGACCAATTTGATTTGTAGTACCTGTGATGAGCATAAGCCCAAGAGGAGAGTCCAATCCCAAAAGACTAGCCTATTAGGAGGGAGAGCCCCTTGAACTTATAAACCCCACAACACTTGTGAGATTCCCCAATGTGGGACTCATAACAGAGCACCCCTCTCGAGAGCCGACGTCCCTGGCGGCTCCACTCTACGGCACTTCACTCGGTCTTCTTACCGGTCAGAACCCTCCGCAGGTAGCCCTTTCCGGTTGGCCGACTCTCAATGAAAGCACCAATGTGATGAGCATAAGCCCAAGGGGAGAGCCCAATCCCAAAAGACTAGCCTATTGGGAGGGAGAGCCCCTTGAACTTATAAACCCCACAACACTTGTGAGATTCCCCAATGTGGGACTCATAACAGAGCACCCCTCTCGAGAGGGGACGTCCCCGGCGGCTCCACTCTACGGCACTTCACTCGGTCTTCTTATCGGTCAGAACCCTCCGCAGGTAGCCCTTTCCGGTTGGCCAACTCTCAATGAAAGCACTAATGTGATGAGCATAAGCCCAAGAGGAGAGCCCAATCCCAAAAGACTAGCCTATTAGGAGGGAGAGCCCCTTGAATTTATAAACCCCACAACATTTGTGAGATTCCCCAATGTGGGACTCATAACAGTACCTTGTGTGTTTCAAGGCTTTTTTTTGTAAGAAACTTTGCTTTTCTACAATTGATCGATCTTCTCATTCTCAATATCCTATAAAACACTCGATCACAAAAATCTGTCACAAAATATTTGCGTTAATTCATATACTGAAATTAAAATTGACAGGTCTATAGACAACAAACGGAGCTTTTTAATTCATTGGATTATAGATACGAAGGTGACACGTCCTTATGGAAGAATTTGTCAGAAAACAAGAACATCAGATTCATTGAGTTTGTGACCTCACCAAACAACCCAGATGGACGATTGATGAAGGCTGTTCTTCGTGGATCTAATGTTAAGACTGTTAATGATCATGCTTATTATTGGCCACACTTCACTCCTATTCCTTCTCCTGCTGATCAGGAGCTCATGATCTTCACTATCTCCAAGCTCACTGGCCATGCAGGCTCTAGATTTGGGTAACAATAATTTATTGTTTCAGTCCCATTTTCTATACATTAGAATCCACTAAAGTAGCTAGATTTTATTTTAGAGTTGATCTAGATGGTTTAGATTTCTGAAACAGATGACCCATGAAATATGAAGTTAAATGTCTGGATTTGACTTCCCCCCTTAAGCCCCCTTTGGTTAGACTTTAGAATCAAAGGAAAAAGGAATATGTTTCCTTTACATGTGAAATACTTCCTTTGGTTCTAAATATAAGAGCTAGTAAAAAAGTTTGCTTTGGTCTTAATTAAATATAAGACCTTCACCTTGTCTTAATTAAATGTAACTATTTAATTACCCATGTTGAGGGAATTTTCCATCAAGAGGTAGTATTTTTCAATGCAAATGATTAAAAGGAATATTGTAGAAAGAAACAACGCACTTTTTTTTCTTCACAAATAGCTAATTTAATTAATTTTTAATTTTAATCTATACAAATTAGTTATTTAGCTCCTATGTACATTTAGAACCAAAGGAGCACCTATAATATCCCTATAGTCATTACTTAACACAAACAATATTTGTTTATTACAAATTTTTACTCTATCTTGTTCTTATTATTCTAGCATGTTTCATTATATATTATTACATCTGATTTTAAATATAAAAACTAGTATAGAAATTTTATTTGATCATAAATATATGATCTCAATCTATTTTGTCTCTCAAATTTACAGTTTTTCCCCCCAAACTAGCTTACACATATTAAGGGGTATTTATCAATAGGTAGTTCCAATGCAAACAATTATAAGGGTATTCCTGGAGAATTTTTTTTACCAATATTTAAAATAATAACTAATTTGCTTAATTTCTACAAATTACTTAACTGCATTTTATATTTACAATTGGAGGATTATGTTTCATCTAAAACATTAATTTTCACTGCATTGTGATATCTCATAGGTGGGCACTGGTAAAGGATGAGGCAATATACCAAAAGATGTTGACATATTTGGACTTGAACACCATGGGAGTTTCTCGAGAGTCTCAGTTGAGAGCTTTGAAGCTTCTTGATGTGCTTCTTGAAGAAGGAGACGGCAGAAAAATATTCAAGTTTGGATATTCAACAATGAAAAACCGATGGATAAAACTAAGACAGATCTTGTCCAAATCAAGACGATTTTCTCTGCAGAAATTAACTCCCAATTACTGCTCCTTTTTCAAAAGGGTTAGGGACCCCACACCAGGTAACATGATGTTCCCAGTCAAATCAAGATATATAGATTTTTTTTATTCTATAAAAAACTCTTGGTGTTAATGTTATTTTAAAATTCACTTGTTTTAATTTAATTGAACAAAAGTATGTTAAGCATATAAAGTTCATGCCGAGTCTCCTTCAATTCTGTGACAAGGAAAGGGTTTTCATCTTGACTTGTGACTTATTAGTAGATTGGTAATTCAATCAACATTTGGCCCCCTAATAGTCTTATAGCTTAGTAGTATGAAAGTTTTCCTGTAAATAGGAGAATGTGAGTTCAATCTTATTTGCAATTTTAAGCCGTTAGTACCTACTTCTTTAAATTACAAAAAAAAAAAACAACGTTTAGTCATGACAAAAGGAAAGAAAAAGGATAAAATAAGAATTCGGTTTGACTAGGTTGGCATATCAGGTCAGGCCGAGCACTTCAAGTTAAAGTATTATGTGGCTTGACCGACCCGACCCGACCCATGGACATCCTAATGAATTAAATTTGATTGAATTTTTGTAGGAGAATTATATTTATGACCATTTGAACTTTGTTTAGTGGACATCAAATGCATAATACAGTCTAACATGTGATTGCAATTATATGACAGCATATGCATGGTTGAAGTGCGAGAGAGAGGAAGATAAAGATTGCTATGCAGTTCTTAAAGCAGCCAAAATAGATGGTCGTCCAGGAAGTATGTACAGTGCCAACGGTAGTTACGTTCGTTTAAGTCTCATCAGAAGCCAAGATGACTTTGACATACTCATCAACCACCTCCAAAACCTCCTCGCTAAATCTTATTAGTCTCTCTCTCTCTATATATAGAATATTTTACTTCAAATTTCAATAGCAAAAATCCATGTACAACAAGGGGCAGTAGTCGATATATAGCTTATAATTATTGACAAATCAGTGTTATGTATGAATAATGATTGGATTTGGTTCTTACAATCCTTATTATGTATCATTAATCACTACTTGTGTAATATATTTCAACTTTTTATACTTTGTGATTCTGCTTATGAATTTTATAATTTAAGAACTTTGATATGAAGGATACGAGTGAGACATCTTGTGTCATTGGCATTAAGATCCATAGGGATAGGACTCAAGGCCCACTAGGCCTGTCTTAAGAAGCCTATGTAAACAAAGTTCTTGAATAATTCAGAATGAAGAGATGTTCTACTAACGTGACTCCTCTAGAAAAAGGGGATAAGTTCAGTATAGATCAGTGTCCCAAGACTGAGCTTAAGAAAAGGGAAATGGAAAAGGTCCCATATGCCTTAGCAGTAGGAAGCTTAATGTATGCACAGGTTTGCATGAGACCTGATATAGCTTTTGCTGTGGGCATGCTGGGAAGGTAGCAAAGTAATCCTGGTAAGACGCATTGGATAGTTGCACAGAAAGTGGTTAGATATCTACAGGGTGTGAGATATTTTATTATTATCATTAATTATTTAGCTATTTAATTAGGAATTAATAAAATGTCCTGAGAGTGGCCCGTGGTCAGATAAGGCCCAAGCCCAATAGGGTTTTTATTTTCAGTTAGGATTATATTTCTCTGATGGTGAGAATTTAATTATTAGGTTTTGACGGCTGAAAGTTAATAGAGCTATACATTCAGAAACAGAAAACCCTATCTGCTCCTTGAGGTTCCTTGACTGGTGATGGCTGAACCCGGTTGCCATCACTGTGCCTATCTGCTAGTCAAAAGAGACCTGAATGAATTTTCTTCTGACTCTAATATATCTTGTAGCTCTCATATTAATTAAGCAATAGCTATGGCGTGAGGTAACTCTAATATTAAAGTCTTCCGCTGTATGTTTTATAAGAGGATTCATTTTGTATTATCTGGATTGAATATATATTATATATGTTATTTTGAATCTATCTTACACGTGGCATCAGAGCCAGGTTTCTTGATTCACCTCGTCTTAGTCTTTTCTGATTCTCATTTGAATTTATTTAATTTTCTACTTTGAACATTATTTTAATTGTTTTGAGAGCATCCTTTTGATTTGATTAATTTATTTTTTATCTGAATATTTATGTTATGAATTTCGGACTATTGGGATGGAGGAAAATAATTTTGATTTTCCTATGAACATGACCATCTTCAGTTCTTGAAGGACTCGATTTTGCAGTCATTATTTTCACCCTATCAAAATCAATATTCGTTTTCAATTTTGGCTCAATTTTCCTTTTAGTTTTTTCAAAACTTTGCTTATTGTTGTTTTTTAGCACAAATCTGATAAAAACGCTGCTGAAAATGATCTAAAATGGCGTGAGGATTGCCGGAATTTTCATTCTGGTCACCATAAAGCATGGCAGAACGCAACAGGGGTTGGCGGCTGTGAAGCAACGCAGAAACGGGTCAAGATTCTAGTTAGGTTAACCCAGATTTGTATATTTTAATAACAAAAAAAAGGGGCCTGGACTAGACTTATAAAGGCAAAAAAAAAAGAAGGAAAAAGGCAAGTGTTCAGCCCATTAGTGAAACACACAGTTTCACTAATTTAGGAGTGGTGGGCTGACACATTTTGGGCTTAACTTTGGGTTTTGAAAATGTTTTTTGTTTGTTTTTTTTTTCCGGTTGCGAACTAGGACGAACATCACTTGGGCTTCTAGTTTTTGTTTTATAAGTTTTTTTTTCCTTGTTTCATTTCTAGTTAACTGGGTCATGTCTTTAGACTTTATTTGTGGATTTTTTTTTGGATTTCAGTTTGAGCTTTCGGTTTGGGCTTTTTAATACAGAATTAAGTGTTTTTTCTCCGGTTTGCTGTCTGGGCCACACTGTTTCATTCCAAATTTTTTTTACAGTGATGTAAAGAGCTGTTTGGGCCTCAGTTTGGGCTGTTTTTGCACAGAAATTAATTTTTTTTCTCTGTTTGCTTACTGGGCTTTCGTTTTGGGCCTGAACAGTGTTATTTTATTGTTTCTGGAATATTCTTTTGGCCTCTATCTTGTCCAAATTTTGTTTAGCCCATTTAATTTATTTTCCAGAATCTGTTTGTGTTAAATAAATAATTAATTGTAAATTTTTTATTTATTTAAAAGTGGTTTTCACATGAAATTTATTTTATGCAAATGTTTAAGTTGTTTAAATAAAGATAAAAGTTGATTTTATCTATTTTGTATTTTTTGTGTAAATTTGCAAAATTCTTTGCTGTATTATTTATTTGCCTAAATATTTGGATAATAAATTTGGGCAATTTATTTAATTACTTGAATTTTGCAATGTTTATTTTAAGTTGAAATATGCTAAGGTTAATGTTTAAACAATTGTTTGAATGGATAAAATAGTGGGAGGACTTAATATTAATATAATGATTAATTAATTGTGTTCTCCATTAATATTGTGCATATATTGGATTAAATGTGCTCATTTGATATTTGTGATTAGCATGCTTTCTTAAGGAGTAGCCACAGCATTCTTTATCTGTTGCATGCAACATAAATCACATAATAGACTTATAAAATATCAATTGTAATTAAATATGCATTCATAATTGATCTTTGCCCACAGGTATATAATTATAAATGTATATTTAATTAGAGTGGGATAGAATTGCCTTGTATTTTTTAAGTAGCCCATAGGTATTAGGAAATATAAATGCGTTCTAGTTCCATCAATATGAGATAAATACATGCTATGCTAATTTCTTTGCCCACAGGTAGAACTTAGTGATACGTATGTATAATTGTATGCTTTATTAATGTTTTTTAAGCATGCAAGGCGCAGTTATTGAGAGAATCAAAAGGTTAACTAAGGAGGAAATTCTTCCACCCTTAGACCATTCGGAATATGATTCTTGTGTGGACTGCATAAGGGGAAAGCAGACCAACAAGTCACAAAAGGGAGCTAAAAGAAGTTCTGAATTGCTTGAGATTATACATACTGATATTTGCTGTCCTGATTTAACCGCGCACAATCAAAAGTATTTTATTACCTTTATTGACGATTACTCGTGATATATGTATATCTACTTGCTTTATAATAAAAGTGAGGCACTAGATGCCTTTAAGGAATACAAAGCAGAAGTAGAAAAAACAAATTGGGAAACCATTTAAAACTGTGAGGTCTGATAGAGGTGGTGAATACTATGGTAGGTACACAAATGAAGGACAAGCATCTAGTCCATTTGCAGACTTTCTTCGAGAGTAGGGTATAGTTGCTCAACATACCATGCCTGGCTCACCAGATATGAATGGTGTAGCTGAAAGAAGAAATAGGACCTTACTAGATATGGTTAGGAGCATGATGAGTAGCTCCAAACTTTCAATTTCATTATGGAAAGAAGCACTCAAGACAGCAGCCGTATACATATTAAGCAGGGTACCAATAAAGGCAGTACCTAAAACTCCCTATGAAATCTGGAAAGGTTGGAAACCCAGTTTAAATCATTTGAAAGTATGGGGCTGTCCTGCAAAAGTAAGAGTGTATAATCCACAAGAAAAGAAATTGGACCCTAAGAGCTTACTTTGTAGGCTATGCAGAAAAGTCTAAAGGTTATAAGTTTTATTGTCCTCCTTCTTCAAAACGTTTTGTAGAATCTAGGAATGCTAAGTTTCTTGAGAATGACGTGTTTAGTGGGAGTGATCAAACAAAAGATGATCACATAAAAGAAACCATTAACACAAATGGTAAGGAAACTTCAATGGTCAATGACTCTCATCCAGTTAGAGCTATCATAGAACATAGTGTAGATCCCATAACACAAGTTGACAATGCTGGACATCATGAACATATGCAAGCTGATCAACCTGTCACACAATCTAAACCACCACAGAATGTGACAGGGAATGTTCCTAATGAGCAATCTGAACCAACTCAAGAAGTTGAATTAAGAAGGTCAACTAGAGAAAGAAGACCAGCATTACCTAGTGACTATGTTGTGTACTCTGCTAAAATTGACTGTGATGTTAGCATTGAAAATGATCCTTTGATATTTACTCAGGCTATGAAAAGTGGAAACTCCAAATTGAGGCGCCATGGTAGAAAAAATGAACTCAATGGCAAACAACCATGTATGGGAGCCTGTAGAGTTACCTAGTAGGTCTAAAGCCATTGGCTGTAAGTGGGTTTACAAAACCAAAAGAGACTCACAAGGTAACATTGATTGTTACAAAGCAAGGTTGGTTGCTAAGGGTTTCACACAAGTGGAAGGAATTGATTACAGAGAAACCTTTTCTCCTGTATCAAAGAAAGATTCTTTCCGCATCATCATGGCATTGGTTGCACATTTTGACTTGAGGTTGCACCAGATAGATGTTAAGACTGCCTTTCTCAATGGTGATCTTAAGGAAGAGGTCTACATGAAGCAACCTGAGGGATTTGTTGTAAAAGATAAAGAACATATGGTGTGCAAGTTAAAGAAATCAATATATGGTCTAAAGCAAGCTTCACGACAGCAGTATTTAAAGTTTCATGAAGTGATCACATCATTTGGTTTCGATGAGAACATTATGGATGAGTGTATATACCACAAGGCTAGTGGGAGTAAAATCATATTTCTGATTTTATATGTTGATTGCAACCAATGATCTGGGACTATTGCATGAGGTAAAACAATTCTTGTTTAAGAACTTTGATATGAAAGATATGGGTGAGGCATCTTGTGTCATTGGCATTAAGATCCATAGGGATAGGACTCAAGGCCTTCTAGGCTTGTCTCAAGAAGCCTATATAAACAAAGTTTTTGAACGATTTAGGATGAAGAACTATTCTACTAACGTGACTCTTCTAGAAAAAGGGGATATAAGTTCAGTATAGATCAGTGTCCCAAGACTGAGCTTAAGAAAAA